AAATGATAAAAAACAACATAGCTTTTGCAAAATTCTAAATGAAAGAGATAAGCATGATGATGCAGAAATTATTAAAGTTTTTTTAAATTAAAAGTTCCTAACTCGAAATAAGTGGAATTGTGTTAGAGTGCTTAGGTTTATGTGGACGATGCATGCTATTGTGTCTGAAGTTCAAAGCCAGCAGATGGAGCAGGAACAACTTGTGAGGAGCCAAAGTGTCTGTACTATGTGTCGAGCTACAAATAAAAAACTTGCTGACAATGAGCAGTCGTGCGGTACTTTCATCAAACGACTTGCCTTTGTACTAAAAGTTTAAAATATGTACAAAATACAAATGCGATTTAGTTATCTAACCATTTGCCCAACTTTGAGGCGAAGGAATCTAACAAAAGCCATATATTAAGTTAAATATTAAAGGACATACAGACGAACGATCTGATTGCAACACAAAAGATGTTAAAAATAGAGGAAGAATCAGAAGTAACATTGTGAAATCAATGGTCACACTAGACAATATTTCTCGTTAGTATATATCGGTTCAACATTGTCTCCATAGTAATCAGTTTGCAAAAGTGAGTCCCATGCACGTAACATGCGAAGGTGCCAAATCAAACACACTTTCGAAAACGCAAGGCGCCTCACAAATGAAAAGTTGTTAAACGGGCAATTAACCCTACTAGTTGATTCCGGTAGTAATACCTGACAAAGTTTTAGTACCCTAGGTATATAAAAGTAGGTATAGCCTTTAACTACATGATAGCTACGATGTTCCGAAAAAAGCCGTATGGACAGTTATGGCCAATAAGCGCCCTCCCACTGTATGTTTGCTGTCATAGGATTTCAACTTCAATAAAAAAGGCATTCTACATGAAACGGAAGTTGTAAATTCTTCTCCTTTCATAATTCAAACGATGTTTTACTGTTGTGGCTCAGTGGTTCTAAGCTTCAGTAATAACGACGGTTAAGATTAATTTTCTTGCCATTTCATGAGCAAATCATTATCTTAATGTTAACTCGGATTATAATTATGACTCTCCAATTCTAAATGAAAAATGTGTAATAAAATGCATTTATTTAAGTTCCTGTAACAGGCATCCGAGACCCCAGCAACATCCAAAATAACGTATATTGATCTAACCTTGTTGTTGAGGGGAGAATATATATATAAAGGAGGAAAACGCACAATATTCATAATTGTGATACCTCATACAGGGTATGTGTTAATTTTGTAGAAGATGGTGCTAATCCGTTCAATTATACCTTATATAAACATATTACTTAAACTCTAGAGTGTAAATCTAATCTTCCTGACACAGCAGCCCTGTCTGAAAAACAGTGCCATATACTTTGTCCCTGCACAGGTACCTCCAAATATCCTGTTCTTTTAAAGATGGCGAATATATCTTAAGAATCTAACCGATGGTCAATCATGAGGAAAATTCTTCGTAATCTGCCAAAGTGTTCACCATATGATATGATAATGTGCACATACCTGCAATTAACGTGCTATTATGACAAAGTGTAATCTACAAAATCACCTTGCAATCAAATGTCGGTTGGTTTCATGACACTTCTATTTCGTTTCATTTTCGGTGTATGATATGATAAATTACACCGGCCGTAATGTATGTTTACACTGACAAGTCTTGCCGCAACAGATAACCCAAAGAAAACCACCTGCTTTGCGGCTCGGTTTACAAGGCATTACTCAATATGTGAAAAAATAAAAGTTTGCATTGCGTGTTTCTTAAGAAATTGCGGTTGACAATTCCATCAGATTTCTGCAATAGAACATAACATGTTTGATTTCATGACTGCCAGTAGTTCGACTTCAGTCTCACTTTTGTCGTTCGGTGGATCCAGGATATTAAGCATCAATCCGTCATTTTGCCTCAAATCCACCAATAATACTTGAACATGATATCTTGTTCTTTCAGTCTCTGAGTGCGTCCTTTCTTGTTATTTGGCCTCAGTCACTTTCAGTTGAGGAAGAGGGGGACTATCTTAATTGCGGTTAATGATATAATATAAGCAAGTGCTCAGTCTAAAAGTAGGAACGGTTACTTGATTCCTAGATTCGATAAGTTAAATCTTTAATCCGAATCTAAGGCCTCCGGCCTGTTACCATGTTTTACAACTATCCATTTTTTACATCGAAGGCATCTAAGGTAAAATATGCCAGCCGATTAAACATTTTTGAATTCCAAGAAACCGTAATGTTTTTGTTCTAATTAACTGTTAAGAAGGTAGATCGTAAATAAAACAATTTGCTAAGATATGATATTAAAGGACATTTCTTTAAAAAATGTTTTTCATCTTAAAGTACTTGACAATATTTACAATGCTTACCAATTTTATGTACATCTTTATGCGTAAATATTCCAATTTTTACTTTAATTTATGATTAAATACTCTATATTCACTCAATATTTATTTAGTTACAGCAAACTGAAATATGACTTATTTTAAATAGCAGATAATTTTCACAGAACCTGGGATCATTAGAATGTTATCAAAGCAACCGAGTCTTTCTGAAAATTGCATATTTCATAAACATATCTTTATATAGTGTGTCACTTTCATATATATTTATAAATGTATACGAAAAAGCGGCCTGAACTTTTTCACCAGCCAGAATTTATACGTGTGTGTGTGTGTGTGTGTGTGTGTGTGTGTGTGTGTGTGTGTGTGTGAATGTGACACACTATATTTACGGATAAATAGTAGCAAAACATCCATATTTTTTCTGCTTATTGAACTTTTAACTTAAAAGTACTTGTTGCAGTACTCTAAACGTAAAAATGGTATGAACCTTTATAGATGGATAATATACTAAATGATGTTGTAGGTTGAGTTTGAAAAAACAGTATCCAAATACACGATGTCAATATTAAATATCTCGCCTTGGGAAATTAATATAAGTAAACTGAAGCATAAGATCGAAAGTCAGCTTACCTCTGTATTAAAGATTTAAGTAAATATTATACTTTTTAAATCATGTATTGTTTTTCATTCAATGTCATTATTCATGCATGATTATTATTTTTTGCTTTCTTCACTGTATTTTTATTATTTGCGAAAAAAATTTTCGCAGGTCTCTTCCTCTGCTCGTTTGTGAGTTCGTGAGTTTGTGATATGTCGTAAATTTCTTTCCGGCGAATAATGGCCACAATTTTAAAGATTTTCGCTGCAAAACTTTTTGTAGATAGATGATAGACCCAGAATGGTTTGATTTTTAGTACAACAGGGGGTTGGGCTGTTCCTGGGGGTGATTGATTCTTAATTCTTTTAACACTGTAATTTCTGCAATCTCCTCCTACCATTTTGGTAATGATAGAATTATGGGCACTTTGGATTTTCCGTGAACCTGGCGGGTTGGGCTGTCCCCGGGGGTGACTGATTCTATTTTTTTTCACATTGTAACTTCTGGGATTTCATCCTAGACCATTAGAATGATGAAGTTCATTTTTCTTCATTTATTGTTTTATTATTATTTATTATTATCAGGTTTTTCTTAATTTCTTTTATAAATGTATACGAAACAGTGACCTGAACTTTTTTTACCAGTAAGAATTTGACAAATAGCAGCTTTCAGCATCGAAAGTAAAGCCAGCGAATCATTGGCGCGAAATGGTCCGGCATTTGTTTCTATTTCGACACATTTCGTCTAATGTGAGTATGAGTTGATAAACGAAATCCAGGCAATATATACTTACACCACAGACTCGTTTCACATCTATACCAGCAAAATACATAGTTGAAAAGAAAATCACCAAAGTTGACAGGAGTAAGGCACAAACAAGCTCCCCATTATAAAGGAGGGAATCGCGACCTCTTCAAACAACTACGTGCACCATATAGTATTTCTATATCTTTTGACGGGGTGAACTTTGCGGGAACCTGTATTTAGTTTCGGATGATTTCTTGGTCGTTTAACTTAAACATAATAGTATGTATACGTATAGTATGTCGCGTTAACAACAGCAAAATGATGAACGCAGAGGTGTTAACGAGGGAAGGAACATGCAAGCCATTGTGTGACAGACCACCCTGTCGTCAGTTGTTCGCGACAACGCTGCTTCTTTACGTAAGCGGGTACTTAAATCGTAAGCTGTACCGTCGATCAACTCGTTAATTGGACATAAAAATCACGATTGGCTTAAACCAGTGCTGAGTTCATTAAGACGCATTCAGGTGATAATGAAACACTTTTGCAGCTTCTAAAATGTTTAAAGGATAACTGTATTTTCAAAAGAAAAAAAATTAAGGGAGGAATCATGGTAAAATTGAGAAAAATTTTTTTAGAAATGCTTTGAAATTTTATCTTGCTGAAATAACAGAGTACTTAACCAAAAAACGAAGAATAAAGTTGTTGTAGGGAATGCGTCGGATAAATTTTATTCTGTTTTTATGAATCGACTTGGGTATGCGGCTGTTAGAAATTACCTCACAACGAACTACAGGGCATCAGTAAACAATGGGGATCGTCCCAGATAGCCTAAAAAGGGGCTGACGGCACTGTGTGACGTCATACGAGTATGAGTGGAGTTTAGCGAAAGCAACTTACTACTTTTTTTTCTATAGACTGTAACTCTAAAGACTTCGGAGAAAACAACCAGAAAAATATCCGAAGATATGTAATTTTTTTTTTTTTTTTGTTTTTTTTTTTTTTTTTTTTTGCAGCACCCCATTCGCTTGTTTGCCATTATTTTTGACCCCAATCTTCTCTGAATCCCGCTAAATCTCGTTATGTTTTACGTTTATTCGCGAAACTCTGGGGTATCCACATTAATAGGGCTCTTAAATAACGCTCTGTTGTAAGAAACTTTGTCAAAATGTGATTCGAGAAACACAGGAAATATATTACTCATATCAATTCGCAGCTTATTTTCAAACTGCGGTATGTTAAACGAGAACAAATAGACTTCATATGCACAGTTCGACTGATCTAAGTCCATTTGTAAACAGACACTTTCGCACAGTTTTAAGGCTAAGTAAGTTTATTATGTTCAAAACATATCATTTAAGTAAGCACACTGAATATTATATGCATGTTCTATGTATTTCACTATTAATTCAAAGTCTCTTTTTATTTACTACGATTTTATGCCATAACAAAGATAAAATTGCTTATTTTACATTTATATCATTCACAAACTTAATACGATTTTTTACATTGTAAATATAAATAATATTAAATTACAACTTTTAATAATTACGGGCTGCCTGCAGCCTTGCAAGTCTTGTGTTGAATCATATATACTTCAAGTCATCTGGTAAAAAACATTTTCATATTCAGTCAGTTTTAAAAACGATTTCCAGAATCAATCACAAAACAGAAAATATTCATCGTTTTATAGTACACAGTGTCCTCCACGCAGGGATGCGGCATTGGGTGGTTTCTGCGGACAGATCTTCTTCAGTTATATGCCCGATGGTCACGTTGATTCCATCGTCTCTCTCACAGCAAACAGACACTGCACACACCTTTGGGAAGGTACTAGCTGCACTGTCTGGAGTTTCAGCACTTGGAGGACGACACCCGCATCAACCTTCAGTTCAACTTTCCGGTTGACCTCCGGCCCTATAGAATCCCGGACAATATTTGCCTCTCTCCCGCTGGTCTCGTGGCTATGGCGGCCTTTGTCCGAAGTCACCAGGGACGATCCTGCAAGAATAATGAGGGTGATATATTAAGCTAAAGGTTAAAAGAAGCGAAAGAATAATGGGGAATGGTGACATCTGATATTAGAGGCCACTGGCAACGCCGCCGACACTTAATGCGGTTGGTTAAGCGTGTGGCTTCCCAAAGGAAGCTTTTCCAATTTCTGAATAAAACCTTCATTGCTGCTTATTGTCAAAACTGTCTAACGTTAACGACTTAGAAATACTTAACTATAGAACCAATTTTTCAAAAGTGCGGATTTGTATTGTAAAGACGTGTGGCCGAGCAATCTTCTTTTTTTCTTTTTAAATCCCGTCAACCGAATCGCTGCAGTAGAAGGAAACCTATATAATCAGCCATCCAGGCCTGAGTCTTGAAAGTGAACACTTTAAACCCACAAAGCGTTTGTTTGTTTGTTTGCTAGTTTTTTTTTCCACCAAGCAAGTCATGGGCATGCCCTGTTGGATGCAGCTTTCAGTATAAAATAAGTCATGAAAGACAAACCTTTTCAAATAATCCAACACTAAAAAGTAACGTTCAGTAAATCAAAAATAAAAAGGTGCACAAAAATGCTTTCCTCTAATTTGGAACTTCCCAATAACTCATTAAATGCGAGCATGCACAATAATTATTAGTTTCGCAGTCTTAAATGCTTAACATCTAAATCATACATTTGTTAAAACCCTTAATAATGGGTTTCTTAAGACGTAACAATCGCTTTTCCCCTATATTGAATAATGCTCCGGGAAGATCAAACGCTTCTTGTTAATACCTGTTATCATTTTGAAATTATAACATTTTATAGGATTGTTCGGCCTAAGGGAAAATTAGAAACGAGGGCTATTTGACACAGTAGCAGAAATTTTCACAAATGTTAAATATTATACAATTACTACATATGAATCATACAAACCTTCACATTTTCCAAATGTGTCGAACAGTGTGTTCAAAACCAATTGTTGAAGTCGAGCAGGTCATCTGGAAGTTCATCTTCGTCATCTAGGGTTGGACAGTGGTCACTTGCAGAGTCCGAGCCACCGAAACTGGACCCCGGTGACCCACCGTCCGAATACGAGGAGGGGGAGAGGGCAGAGTACCATTGGTTGTCGCTCTGCGGCGGCTTCACCGCAGTCTCTCCTTCGCTAAGGGCACTGTGAAGTTGACTTATATACTCAATGGCAGATCTCAGCGTGTCGACTTTGCTCATCTTTTTCGATTTGCCATTCTTTGCTCGGGTGTACTTGGCTGGAAGATGGTTTCTCAAGTCGGAAAACGTATGGTTGATGAGACGAACTCGATTTCTCTCTCGCGCGTTTCTTCTTTCCACAGTTCCAGGTTGCTTCCCTTGTATCCCACAAGGTACCTGGTAGAGCATTCGCCGTTTGTTTCGAAGAGACGCTTGCTGTCTTTGCTGCTGCTGCTGCTGCTGCTGCTGGAGGTGATGGTTTAGCGGGGCGGGGAGAATCGGCCTCTGAACTTGGTAAGAAGAAAAAGTCTGGTTGGGTGTGTTGTGATTGTAGCGTGCGGTCAGCATCTGCTCTCCCTGGGGTTCACTTGTTGGCATCATAACGCAGGCTGAAGGAAGAAACGATGTGGTCAACAAATCATTCATATTTACTTTAAACGACAGTTCAAACTTCCGTCGCGTGCTTTCCACGTGTGGCAACCGCTGGCTTGTGCCAAATTTTGCGAGCTGATAAGACACGAGCTTGGCAGTACTGCGTTGACTGGTAACGAGATATCGAGATCTAGCGCGTGGTAGCAACAATTTATACTCCTCGGCACGAGCGTAAGCTCCGCCCCCTGCACCTCTTACCTGTCACCTATACCTCGCGCTAACGGGCTTGCCACGCGCCTCTATTTTCACCTTCACCAAAGCGTCCCCTGTGCGGTGGCCCGCATCACCGGGTTTCTCGTAAGGAATGACACTTATGGTAATTTTATGGATTGCGTGCATGGCGAAGACTGTAGAACCAGTTACCTATGACGGGAAAGAGGGCGATGAGAGGATGGGGGCATTTGGGGCACAAAAGTTGACTGGAATACTTTAAGGGCATTGTATGGAAAAAAATTCCAAAGGGATAGTTGATAGTTTGCATCTTGCGAAAAATTCTCTCAACCATAGCATCTGAAATAAAAAAAAAGTGCAAAAACACGAAAATATGAATAATATACATTGTTACACAACGGAAATAAATTTCAACACTTTATTGTGCAAATATGTTGTTTCCTTACTTTAACTTTCTACATGCAAGCAATATTAACATCTTAGCATGCAAGATTTTTATGAAATTTAGTAAAACAGCCGCTTGGTCAAAGGTGACAAATCTAGTTTTGTGTGTGTTAATTGGAAGAACCCCGCGTTGAGATTTGTCACAGCGGTTAATCCTTCCCCATAGCTCGTTTTTCCTGTGACAAGTGCTACGAACCAAACTGTTAATAACAGTGCCTGGAGAACATGGAGATGCGGCACTGAAAATCGATAAGGAAAAGAGTACTACAATTATGAAATCTTATGGCAAAGTTTAATCTAACTTATTTTGTGGCTTTTCTGATGAATCTTTGTCTTTCTCTCTCTCCGTACACCCACACACCCACACACATCACCCAAATCTCAAATAATGGAACCTTTTGTGTCGAAAGGGTGTCGTAAATCATCTCCATACAGACTGGCGACATATAACCCACATTGAATTTCTTCCCATTCAACATAGCTCTCCCAGGCATTTTCTCGAAAAGTTTTTTGGGAGTTAAGCCTGCAAAATTTTTTGTCTTGCTTTTGAAATAATCTCACCAAATTGCCAAAAGCTGCCTTAATATGATTCATAATGTCTTTGTTAAGTAAAAATCTAAAAAATTAATCCGCTCTGTTGCCGGCAGTGCAATTCAATACTATAATAGGAGCAGGGTGCATATTTGCACGTAATCCAAAACTATGTCTCTAAACCATAATTCTTTCATGTAAAATTGACTTTTTTCATGCAATGAAGATTGAATTTCGAATCGTCTGAATAATATCTTATCTAGATATGTTACGAATTGTATGTACTCATGCTGCTAACATCCATTGAATCCTCATTGCCTCTGAACGTGCTAGTGGTGTTCAAATTAGCAATCTTTGAACTATTTCTAAAATTCCATACTCTTTTTTCAAAAATTAACACATAAACCAATATATGTTGAAAAACTATTCTAATTGTCATATATTAAGCAGATTTCAACCATTTTACTGACTTGTATTAGTAGTATACCATTGCATACTAATTTGGTTTTCGAGATGATGTGTAAAAGCAACTTCAACTTCATGACAGTTTTTGGCACGTCTTTATTAACACATTCTATAAGGTATTAACTTTTTAGTTAGCAAGTTTTCTTGGAAAAAATTGACTCTTGCTCGCGAGAGATCTTTTGTGCGACAATGACATTGTTTAAAAGGCCAAAATAAAACAATTTTATATAACGTGGGATATTGTGCCATTGTGCTCTTACCCGGTTGTCTTATTGATGACTCTCGTGTGCATGCACTCGTTTCGATTCATTTCGAATTCAGAGGTCTAGTATTCAAAGATACAAAAAGAAAATGAAGTCTGTTGTCAAGGAGCTTCCAAATGGAGGGTAATTTTGCACCGCCCACCACTACCAGCATGGTTGCCAGACATGTTCTCTGAGCTCAACTTGATTCGACAATCAAGGGCACCCGCACGCTCCCAAAAATAAACCCCAACTATCAACATATTTCATGTCAAGGAAGGCATTGAATTGGAAAACAGCGTCTTCTCTCCTTTCCTTCTAAGAATGGTACTTGAATGGAATCTACAGGTAGGGAAGCTGACCCTTGAACTTCATTTTCAAAGGTGTATCTTAGTGCGCACGTGGCTTTTGATGAAACGACGATAAGTTTCAGACCACGCGCACTGCTTTTTAATGATCCGGTTGTTGATATGCAAATCCGAGTGAGAGGCAGCGACCATAACCACATCAACACTAAAATTTTATTAGTTTTTGGGATTTCAACTTTTCATCCAATCAATGTCAATTCATTTTAAGTGTATTTTCATTTGGAACAGCGCCTTTACAGATGTGCATCAATAGTAATTGAGGGTTTAAGGGGGCCCTTTAGATTCTTGCGTGATTAAATTGAAAAGAGGAGAGTAAATTTCTTGCCCAACAACAGGACAAGTTCAATGGTGTCCCTGCATTGATTGGTGCAAAACTGTGAACTTCTCGACCAAGCCTAACGCGAACAATATGTTAATCGTTGCACAGCATACAACTGAGAGGAGCTTATCCCTTGTTTGGTATCCTAAGTTCCGTATTAATACGGTTATTTATGATATTCGTGTCCATTCACCTTAGGGCAATTTAATGTACAAATCCGCCTCTTATCTGAGAAAGCACTTCGCTTCAACTGCAGTGCAGACTACTTGAGTTTTTGTTTCTGGAGCCTCCTTACCGTTGTAAGATTCAGGTGTTATTTGTGTCGCATGCTGAGTTAGGCAAAAGAAAGGAGAAATACTCCCCATGAAAGTTATGTATGTTGGCACACATTCGTTAAACCCCACGTGCCCTGGAACTTTTCCTTCTTAATCAGAGCTACTTGTCTGACTTGTGAAATATACTTACTGAGGATCGTCGCCTTTCGTCTGTGTACCCGGTGTGCCTTGCCGCAGACCCTAGGACTTCCCCCCTCCACAAAAAATCGTAAAAGCGGTGACAGTCACTATCACGCGTGCCAGTGGCTTTCTTATTTCTAAATCAATCAATACCCGGTGGTATTAAGTCCCCGTGGTCTTATCAAAAATACATTGTTAATTATATTCATGAGTCTGTTATAGATGTTTACAAATAAAACTTTATTGTAAAAAAAATATATATATAAAAAAAATAGTACCAAAGCTTACAAAAAAGTGGACCTAAAGAAAATTCTAGAAGCTTGTCGCTATTCTGAAAACAAATCCAAATGATATTTGGGCACCTGCTATATTAAGGTATCCTTGTGAGTTGGAACTTAAGCATGAAAAACATTGGATTAAAAACAACCCCTTCCCGTTAAGAATAAACAAAAACAGATAAACGTTATCAGAAAGTATATTTACCATTCTCTCAAGCCTGTCTAGCTACCACACACGAATTGGTAGTTATCTCATCTCGTTAAAGTTGTTTGTATTTTAAACAACATGGAAAAGAAAGCATTTTACTTTGCTTAACGAACTGTAATTCTTGACGGTGCTCACATAAAAAACCGTAGTGATTAAAATGGTACTACGAAAGTATTTTGTTTTCGTTGTGATTTATCGTCATTTATGACCCCCAAAATAATGTCATTTGAGTGGCCCTGACACATTTAAGATTAGGACATGTGAAGGAGAGAGAGAGAGTGAGAGAGAATGGCTCTAGTTTTAACCCAAGAGGGAGTAAGCAGACCATTGGAAAACGTTTAGCACAACCGCGCTATAGAATTGATTCGAATATCATGGGTTCATTGGGTCACTAAGGCGGCGTCCGTTTGAAGACATTAGTCCATTTCTTTTATTCTGAACATGATATAATCCTAAACGCTATTGTGTTGGGGCGTTCGTTGACCTGCTTCTAGGTCATTGGGCCGATGAAAAGAAACCTCACGACGCGTGCCCATTGTTAGTTTGCAGTGCATAATTTGTTTGTTTGTTCGAGATGTAAACGATAGCGTAACAGAAGGGCAATTTCATATCAATTTCTGTAAAACGACACCAATGTTTAAATAAGCCAAGATTTGCAAATTGGGGATAATTACAAAGTCGAGTAACAGCACTTACGTAGATCTTAACTATGTATTATACACCCAAACTCACAATGCATTATCGACCACCGAAAAGCGGTTCAAAGTTTTGATTAGAACATTCCTAAATTTGCCAGAGTCATTTGTGAAACTGTGCGTTTACTGTTGTGCGTTGTACTGCATTGTTGCAGAACAATTGAATACCATGAATAATTCCAAATGAAAATTGATTAAAAGGCACATAGGTGCTACACGTATCGACATCAATATCTAAACACTGTTCAAAACAAACAACTCTTACATCAATCAACAAACACCTCTTACATTAATCATTTAAACGGATGCAAAAAGAAGGCAAATTACTAAAATAATTTATCTATGGTACTTGAGAATGACATAAAAGAATTCCCTTCTGTATCTCAAGAATTTAGAAAAAAAATAGTATGTTGTATTGGTTCAGTATCAATCATGGGGTAACAGCATGGGTGTGGGGGTACTGAGGGGGTGTCATTAAAAGCGAAAAATTGATATTATCGATATTATCGTCTAAATAAGCTATTGTATTTTGTGTATGCTTTGACTAAATATAAAGATGTGCATAACAAAATTGGTCCAATCTATGACAATATAAAAAATAAAATAAGAACACAAAATAAGAAAAGAACTAAGCTACAGACAACTTCTTGACGGTGATTTATTTGTCATTTTAAAGCAAGATAATCAGAGAATCGTTATGAAATCTATTGATCATTACAAGTGGACACATTTAATGATAAAATCGCTCCTCTTTAGAGTAATCTATTGGGAATTTGCATAAACATGAACCAAAGAAAAAACGAAAATGCCTATAGATCGATGTTGATTCCACTATTTCAAATACCTCAGAATATCAAATTCATTTCCCTACTCAGCCGACAAATCTAGGTTGCTAAGCGAAATTATTTATGTTACATAAGCGATGTAGCAAAAGTAAAATAGAAGATATGCTATATAAAGACGCCTATTATAATTGAAGTCGACTACATCTAAAGTGACAGAATACTAGAGAAAAATGAACCAAGCAAAACGATAAAATAGGGGTCTTGCGCAACACTGCGGGGCCTTTGGCGCTAAAGCTCTAAGTGTCCGAGTAGAAGGTCATGATCAAAAGTAACCCTGATAAAAAGATTGCCTTGAGTCATAACTGTCAAAATGGTTTATTTGATTAACTTAAGTAACGTACAAGCACACCGTTAAGTGGAATAATGAAAATATAAATTCTCAAAGAATTAGGGAACAAAACCTTAATTCATATACATGTACATAGACTATGTTGTGATACTGTCGATATAAGATAAAAGATTTGAGTTTCATAACAAAGCGCCTGGTAGCGCATCGTCCACAAAACATAATGTTCATCATAATTCAACCTTGTAACATGCGTGATATATTCATAGTCATTCATTCTACTTTTAAATGTGTCTATGGTCTAGTGAAAGATACCTTAAAGGAATTCTTTTATATAAAAAGGACTCTCTGCTGAATAAAATATATAGTTTCCACACACTTGACACATTTTTTTATTTTCTTGTTTTTGGTTAGATTTAGCGTTAACACTGGTTTTAGAATCGAGCTGATTAGCATATCAATATAGGGCAGGTGGCAGCGAATTAGAATATATATTTCCATGTGTGAGAATTCTAGAAAGTCAGATTTTGTTTTCATTTCAGAAACTTTCCATAACGAGAGATAGAGTTAGTAGTTATACTTAATTTTATGCAAAACTTAAACCTACTTACGTAAATAAATCTTTACCATGGCAAAGCCACACTTATAAATTTCCTTCAAGCATTCCTTAAATTTGAAATGATTATATTCCATTAGCGACAAGCCGAATTGAAGCGACTGCTAGTTGGACTCCCTAGGGCCACTCGCCATCATTTTACAACAATGTTACACGACTGGAGTTGAAAAAGCCCTAGGTAAAATTGTTAGACTCTTTCTTGTCGCACCAAGGCATCATACAAATACATGCAATGAGTTCTTTGAACAGCACTGCACACGGAACATGGATAGGTAACTCGAGGACCATGTTTAGGGGCCGTACGGTTCACATGTTGCGACCTTGCCCTGTTTAAAAGTTGTATTTTGCTTGCAGCACGCGGCAGATGGCCGTTTCAATTCAGATGATAAATGTGCCTTTAACATCATAAAAGTTGTCTTTGTGTACTCTTCTTACTGACTGTTACTCCCTCAAAGGTGCTTTCTTCTCCCATTTGCAGCCTCACATATGAATATTTCATAAACTGGGTATATATTTGTGAATTATGACAATTAATTAATTAAATCTATGAATGAATAAGCAGACCTGTTGAAACTTATGTGATTGTTATGTGATAAAAATAAAATTTAGAAGCTATATTTCTTTTATTACTATCTAGTACTCCCATTTATCTCGTCTTTCACAATGTCATAAAAAATTACTAAACAGTGAAAAAAAAGAAGCTGAATATTTGAACACTATATAAACGGTAGGCCCGAGCAACGCTTTTGACGCCTCGTAATGTGGTTACAAAACGTCTGTGCATGGCACAAATGAAAACAGGATGTCAACACAATGTATGTATCACACCTAACACAATTCATAGACATTTTGCAGAAGGCACTTTCTATGTGACTACCATCTACTTAGTATATAGCGTCTCGTCTAAGTCTCATTAAAAAGCTAAACGGAATCGGCAAAACCGATTCTAAATGATTCAAACACAATGGTAATTATTCATTTATTGTGAATAAGATAATATAACAAAATATTGGTTGCACTGGTAACCTTCATTTCTTAGAACATGAGTTCACTTTATGATAATTATTTAATCAATAACTTTTGCAAATATGTCTCCATGCAGTTCATAAATTTCCTGGTAAACCAATGGCTATTTTGAAAAGAAAATGTTTATGCTGTTAGGTTTTATACAATCCAACAAAATGTCCTTAGAGGTACACACAACAATCATTCATAAAGGTATGAAAAAAATGGGATTTATTCAGTGTCATTGTACTTTCTTTCATATCCTCAATAGTAAGAGTCTGTGGAATAACTAATATCAAGTATAGAGAAAATTATCCCGTAGATTACGGTCAACAAATTCAGCCATCAATTTGTCAGCATTGACTGGGATCTGAAACAGTAAATGTTGATAATATTTTACTCACAACAATGAAAATAATCACATTCTATTCAGATATTTAGTTGCTTGGCATATTCAATTAAATCAAACTGCTCAAGGTTTACAATTGATCCATGTCAAGTAAGATTTAACATTAAATGCAGCTGGATAAATGTCCCTCAACATATAAAAAAGTCTACTTTAAGTAGGCATGTTGTATCAAGTCAAATTCTTAAAATATTTCCTTACCTGTATAACATTTTTCAAGGGAGTGACTTGAAGAACTGGCCTGAATGTTTTCATTGTGTTCATATCAAGGTGTATACTGTCAGTATAACACGTGTACAGCACTGCTGCTATCCTCTCTACCTGACAGTGAGTCAATACTAAAATGAATGAAAATGACAATATTGTTACAAATGAAAAGCATATCTCTTAGGTATCTTCCAAATCTTGTTTTAAGCTTTAACACATGGGCAATTAAGTAGTATTTCTGATGTTAAACTCAAATGTATGCAGTAAAAAAAATGACCAAATATTTATTAATATTTCAAAAAATTAAATACTCCAACTACATACAAACACAAACATAAATTTTGTAAATATTTACAAGAAAATTGTTTTGGCTATATTTATATTTTATAAAGGTTTTGGGTTCATTGTGTGCCTTTAAAGGAATAAACAAGTTTCACATTATGTGTACCTATCTGCAACTTAAACGTTGGTTAAAGAGACCTGATCATAACTCACATTGTGCTGGAAGACCAGAGATGGTATTAGGCTGCTCCAGGTATGGAGCAATTGGCTGTCCATGAAAAGAACTGGTTTTCAAAGCCCTTAAAAAAGGAGCAGGAAGGTCGGAAACCATAACATCACACTTGAAATCTGTCACAGAGCCACATGTCAAAACTGCTATGTACGTGTGGTTTATATTGATGCTGGAAAACAGCTGAAAAAATCAATTCAAAATCAGAGAGATAAATAAATAATTTCAAAATTCAAACAAGCATGCTGTTTAAATGTTTCACAGTGTAAAGTATATTCAAATTTCTTACCAAACGCATATACATCAGGCAGAATATGTAGTTGTCCAAGAATTGTCCACACACATACAACTTAGTATTTGTCAATTTAATGAAACTTATTCCCAACTGTTACTGGTATATCACAGGAAAATAATTGAAGTTATTTTTTCACTCTTTAACCAAGATGAATATGAAATGAAGAATCAACTATGCAGATATAACACCTGTTGTGTCCAAGAAAAAGCTTGGGCTGCCTGTACTTCAGTCTTACACTGAACAACAACAACTTCTGGTTTATGAACTAAGCGATATATGTAGCATGTTTTATCACTGTGAGCATCTTGTGATAATGTACTCGTGTCCTTATCATCAAGTCCTGTGCATATAGCACCTATCTTTTCTGATTGTTGAGACAAAACATAGCACTGGGTAAACCCTGGAAAATAATAGCCACATGTCATAAATAATTATTAAGTAACCTGCAAGTTTGCCAGACAGATGTAAGACAGTAATTTGTTCACTTTGAATTATTAATTTTTTTTTTTTCGTAATAGATATTTCAAAATTTTATCTCCTTTTGTTAAAATTAAAATAAATGTAAACATTAGCCACTTTTACCTGTCGCTGCTTGACCTACGGCAATGATAAGTATGGAACAGTGCAGGCACTGGTTCGGAGATGATTCAATTTCTGATCTCACTTGTGGACTCCATCTGAGCACTGCAGGAGAGCTGTAAAATTTTTGCAGGTGCACTGCATCGTGAGTTTTAATGAAAAATGTTACTGAACTTACAATGTACAACTGTAAAAGGCGGACAATTAATTGTGGACTTCACGTCTATTTAACATGTTGTATACCAATTACTAAGGGCACGCCAGCTAAATAACAACTTAAAATTATCAATTCATTTGTCTATCATGCGTTAGTCCATACAGTATATAACAAAAATCTTATATATTATTACTAAATAGTATCAGTGCACGAAAATTCATGTGCTAGTATATATCAGAACCGTCAATAGGAGTGCTAACGCATGAATTTTTCGAGCTAGTATCAGTAGTGAATCTGTCAATGAATAGTTAATCAGCTAATGTTTGTACTTTTTGTAGTACAGTTGTGCTACAAAATACGTTAAGCACGTTAGTGTTTGAATAATAATTTGAGTCCAAAACGCATTTTGCAAAGATTTCACACAAATACCCTTACAAACAATAAACCATTCAAATAAACATATTACATTGCAGTTTCTAACGCATTTTCTTCTTCATCGTCGTCTTCGTCTACCGCGCGCGACGTGACTGGCAGTATTTCTCCAAAGAAGGTCGCCATGATGTCAACAAAACACGGAATTGTGGGTAAAACCAGACATCTTATTTTGATAAATTTACGTGTCTCTTTCATTCTGGTGAGATGGCTTCATAAGATGTAGACACGAAAGCACACAAAGCGCAAAAAATTCTATAGTAGACCTTGGTGATAGTAAATGATAGTTTTAAAAACACTGAGATGACGTCATGATATTTGTGCGGAAGTTCAGCCATGATTTTTGTTTTGGTTTACGTTGAAATGAAGAGCTAAGGAATTTTATTTGCAAACTCTTCAAAACTCTTGATCTAAGAAGCAAAAACTTCCAAGATGTTTAGTACCGTCTCTGGTTGGTTTCGTGGCATAAAAAGTGACGATGAAACAGCGCCTGAGACAGTGTCTGAAGAACAAGGACAGTCCAATAAAGAGAAGCCAAATGAAACGACATCGTCGCAAGCCAAAGCTGAAGATGCTGCTTCAAAGGTAATTTAAGGTTGAAAGATGTATTAAGTACTGGTTAGCGACATCGCCCTGGACGATAAGGTATCAATGTAACAGAGAGAGACACATGTATAATCTCATTATTTACATACATATCAAAAATCTTACTACAGCTTGTACAAGGTCAAGGCACCTAGAGAACATGTTTCATATAGCCACCCTGATCACATTTTATGGATAACTACCATAGATTACACTCTTTGCAATTGCACACATTTACACACATGTATGTGTTAAGTGTTTTTGCCCCTCTGTTTTAGGAGCCCAGTGGAGAGCCTGTGTCTGACCAAGGCTCTGAGAAAAAGGAAAGTCCTGAGCCAGCAAAAGAGGGGGTTGATGACCCTGCTGCAGGCATTCAGTTAGATCTGAATGAAGTCTCAGAAAAAGCCATCCATGCTGCCAAGGAATGGGGAAGTCAGTATATGATTTGTCAATTAAAGATGTTATTATTTTTCTTAAAATGTAAATTTTCTTCTCTTAATGCTCAATGTTCATGAGTGTTGGTTTTTAATGTCTATTTAGGTACATAAAATCTAATTAAGTAATTGATGTCTATTTGCTCGATCGATTTTATCTTATTCCTTTGCCTTCATGTCAAACCAGTAGAATATCTGGTATTTTCCAGTTTTATGAATTATTAACACAATAACAAAGAGCATGTGATCTGGATAGATGCCAGTTAAATATAAGACCTGACTAGAACAGCTGTAGTTCATATGCTGGTGCTGAATATTTTATATAGATGAATTGCGCAGTTCAAAACAAAGACAAGGAAAAGATTACCTGACTTCTCATTCAGCTTTTCTCTGATGAAGAAGTTTTCTTATCAGAATCTGATAAATGATTTAGATAATTAAATATAATTTGTGAATGATTGAATAACTAAATATGTATCCTAAGCTTTTAGTAAATATGCATTGTATCGGAATTAGTTTAAGATTAAGAAATTAAAAAAAAAAATAGATTTCAGTAAAATTTCCTAATTTTATACTAGGAATTAATATAAAGGGTGTTTTCTTTGTTTTTGTTGTGCAATAGTCATTGTAAAATTCTTGCCCCCACTCCAATCTCTGACATTGTTGATAACTACCTAGCATATTTAGCTTAAGGGGTTCCAAGCCATAAATTACTTGGTATGCATTGTATATAAATTAATATTTCTTTTTTATGAAGAAAATTGTAGGATGATCTAGAGTAATAATATACCTCGATTGTTCTGAGCAACATGTGAAGAAAATGTTCTCATATAAGTCAAATTTTATACCCTTTTATAATATAAATGGTATTTTGATATGGGCTGACTTTTTACAGGTTATTTGTTCAGTGTGGGCAAAGTAGCAACAAAGACTGTTGCATCTACAGCTGCCAGCACTGCTAAGCAAATCAAACATACTGTAGAAGAAAAGGTAAGTGAATTTTTGACAAAAATTTAATCTGTGTGAAAAAATAAATAGATAGACAGATATGTAGATATAAACAAAAAATAAATTGATATTGTAGTTGTTTGTAATTTTCCTGATAACACAAAGTTGTTTTGTTGTAGCATATTTATGCTGCATATTTGTAAATTTTGGAATATTCAAGATTATCTGTATGAACTTAGTATTTTGCATTTGCAAGAAAATTCACTTTTTATGGCAGCAGTATTATAATTCCAAAGCATTTTCTTTTGCCAGTTTGAATTTGTATGGTTTTAAGTAAAGTGACATTAATTTTAGACTATCCTTGGAGACTTTTCCAAAGAACAAGAACGTTTTGTAAATGAGAAGAAAGAAAAGCAGAGGCTGTCTGATGCTGCTGTACCTCCTTGGGTGGGTTATAATGAAGAAGAAGCAATGAAGACCCAGATCCTGGCTTTATCTACTGTATGTATAGAACTGTTTTGTCTTTTGCCTGAAGTTGTTTCTTTTGTATTTCTTGTTTTTGTCCCTAATGTAATGAATGTCCAGGCATATTTGAGGTTTACATAACATTTTGATACAGTTTGCAAATAGAAATAAGATTTTGTCCCCATCTGATTTAAATTGTCCATTTGATTAACCACTTTTCATCAGTTTAGTGAGTAAGAACCTTGGAATTTACTGAAAAATGATTATTCTATTCACTTTCAGGACAAAAGGAATTTTCTAAGAAATCCTCCTACAGGAGTTCAGTTCAACTTTGATTATGATATGGTATTTCCTGTTGCCATGGCAACACTGCAAGAGGATCCGAATCTTCAAAAGATGCGATTTGATTTAGTTCCTAAACAGTAAGTGTCATGCAGTTGATTGTTTTTCATGTGTACTGTTATCTTTTTCATGACTTCGTATAAGGTAGTAACAATTACAATTCACTTGACTTTTCACTTAGTCATATTTTATTGTGCATTCTATTAGAATTTCATTGGTTCTTTTAAAACATCTAAAATTATTAAAAGCACTGACAAAAAACATTATATTGTCACTGATAATACAAAGAATGTATACAAAAAATAGCAGCAATATAATGATGAAAAAAAATTATAATTTTATAGCACTCGTTCTCTTTGTGTAAACACTCTAGAAAATATGGGTTTTAGTGAAGTTTTAAAGGTGTCAATATTTTTTTGCTTGTCTTTTGTTTTTTTGGTAGATTGTTTTTAGATTGTTTTTGTTTTGGAACATATATTTCAAATGCCAGGTCTCCATAATGTACATTTGCTTTCCAATCAGCAGGTGAACACTGTAAAAAGTGGTTTATAATAAGTGTATTCCACATAGCTCTCATAGGTGTAATTTTTATGTTGTTTTTTAAGAGGTCTTTTATCACTAAGAGCCTTAAAAATAATAGATAAATTTTGAGTTCACTTAGTAAGGGTGAAAATGCAATTTTTTTATAGACGTAATTTAATTAATTCGTAAAGATGTAAGTTGTCTTTAAACATTTGTACAGATGGTCTTCAAAGAAAGTTGGAAGATATAAAACAATGAAAAACCTGAATGCAGACCCTAAAAGTTAGATAATGTTTGAAAGTTTATATGAAATGCATAGAATACCTTTTAAATGTGTAGAATGCTCAAGTTTACAACCCTGAATTTTTGTTTTACTTCTGTTTCATGTATCTGTGATATTTTTAGGATGAAAGAAGAGAACTTCTGGAGAAACTACTTCTATAGGGTATCACTGATAAAACAGTCCACTCAGTTGACCTCTCTGGCACAGCAGACTGGTATATTAATATTTAATTGCATATATTAACAGAGAATAAAAGTTATAATCTATACTGTTAAGTCAAAATTTTCTATGGTTGTGGTATATACTGCATGGTAAAGTACATACATTACATTAATATATGCAATAAGTTTCAACTATTGGCCATTTTACAGTTTTTTATCCATTCATAATAACTTCTTACCTCTGGAGTTTTTCACTTCTTCCTATCCCATTAAAATAGAGAAAAAAATAAATTTCATAGATCTTTTGAATTATCGTGGTGGGGATAGAGTCAAATTTCATAGATCTTTTGAATTATCGTGGTGGGGATAGAGTCAAAATCTTAAAGGAAAATAAAATATGATATAGAGCTGTTACATACTGTAAAATGACTGATATATTATTATTAGTTGAGAGCATGGTGGGTTGGGAATTGCCATCTTGATTATTGTTTGCTTGGTAAAATGGGGGTTATTTACTTTAATATTGCTATCCTGTAGGATCTACTGGTGAAGGGTTAGCAGTCAAATCAAGTGATAGTTCAAGAAGATCATCTACTGACAGTGGGCAGAAAGGTAGCCTGTTTTCTCATAATTATTTTGTCAGTGTAAAACTTCTGTAGTCTAAGCCACATAAAGGCTGTCACTTTCAAGTAACTGTAGCCAGGTGCATAATTGACCATTTCTTAAGTATTCTCCATGTTACTCTGAAAGGGCACTTGATGTCACTGGTTTCGGCTTGTATAAAGGCTGACTTGGGCAGGAGGGTTGCTATGCACCACAAGCAAATAGGACCAACTTCTTCCACATGTATGGATTTGTAGCATTTAAATTGCCTTTTAGTTTATTCAGCTACAGATTCACGCCCTCCCACTCCTGTATTCCTCCCAATTTCGTCCCATGAATTTTCAGGGTTTGAAGACATCCCGATGGTAAGACATAGCTTCTCTTGATTTTCAGATGATAATTCATCCACTGAATATGACAAATTGTCTGATGTCCAAGATGCCTTTTCTGCCCAGAATCAAGGTGAATGCTCTTTCGGTAATACCGATACTTACTGCCAATATTTATTTGACATGCTGACAATCCAATTTTTCTCTCAAGCTAATAATTGTGGTGTCTGGTGAAAAGCACAACCAAGGAATATCGCAATGGGTATCTTGAATATCAAAAAGGAAAGCATTTATTTTCAGCATCTTGGTAACATACTGTTCAAGGGTCTTACTTTTTGAATGCAGTTCTTACTTTCTTAACCAGAGGAAATAAAAAGCTCTTTGCTTGGCTGGTTTTGCTTGCGCCATGGATTATGCTGCTGGTGAAGTTTTTTTTTTTTTTTTGACAGCTTTGTCAAGTTTGCAACAAAGCAAAATAGTTTTCAGGGTTGATTGCTTAGCAGCAACTGGCTTGAATGCAGGGTGAAAGTTTTATTAAAATGTTGCTGGAAATATTCCAGAATTTACATTTAACTTTTTTCCTTAACCAGTCATTCATTCCTATACACTTCTTCATTCTCCAGTTTTTTTAATGATATTTCTTTTTAAATTCCTTTTAAAGAGATTTATTAAGCCTCTTTTTCATCAGTTTTTTTGACTCATTGAAATCTGCAAATGTGTTTTAATTAATGCAAAAATGTAGTAATTAGAAAGTGACATTTGGACTCTTTGAAGTTTAGGGAGATAAGTGCGATTTGTATACAGCAACGTATTGAAGTCAGATATTAAACATGTAATGTGTTTGGTTCAGTAGCAGCAAAAGATTTGGTTTCTTTTACTTTTGTGCATGTTAAAAACTTTCTTGAAGTGTCTGCAGGATTATTCTAATGCCCTTTCAGTAAGAGTTTCACCAGAAAATGAAATATCATTGAGCATAATTTCTCATGATATTTCATTCCTTGGGAAATGTGCAGAAAATGAAATCATTTTAGGTATCTGATATATTTATCTATGTGAAGTGTGCTATTTCAGTTTTTATGTTGGACCATCAATCATTTTAGTTATCAAGAAATAGCATTCCTGCATGTGTATGATAAGGGACAAAAACAGTTGAATTATTTTGGAAATTAAATATTGAAATTTAATTTTTGATAATTCTGTTAGTGAAACTTTTGGTGACATCCCATTACCTGTTACAGCATCCAGTTAGGCCCATGGATGTTTTCCAAAAATCATGTCTTATTTTGATGTTATAAAATGGAGATCCAGAATTTTCATTCTGTTTATATTTTATTGTATAGATGGCCCCAGTATTCTGCAAAAGGAAGGAGAGGAAGATCTACCCATGTCCAGTCCTACACAGGAAGCAGAGTTCATTAGTGATGCCTATCAGACCGACCTGAATGAGGACGACCTGAGGAAAGAGATGGAGCAGATGGGATTCAAGGAAGACAAACAGACAGCTGAAGGTAATTTTTTTTCTCTTCTGTTAAAAACCAACTAAAATGCAAGAGGGTTTTTCATCCTCTTCGGAAATGAAATGACAAATTACTTACTGTCGTGTTAAAAGTGGAGAGAGTGTTGGTTTGCTGCCACTAGATCTGTTGTTTCCGTTTTGTTATCATGACAATGAAATTACAACTGTGTGTGCTCCCCATTATGTAGATGATGTGGATGGGGATGTAGAGGATCTTGAGGTTGATCCTGATGTTGAGGACTGGGAAAAAGAATTGATGGATGAAATTCTTGAGTCAGAAAAATAGGGTGAGTTCATCAAGGGTGACTGGGTATTGTGGAAGGTTTTTTTTAGAGAATTGCTTCTTTGCAACAGGCTTCCTAATTCCTTTGGTATTGGCACAAACCACAAGCTTGTGGAACTATTTCTTTTTTAAAGGGGAATATTTCTGAAAATGAGATATTACAATTAAGTTTTAAAAAAATCATGTGAAAATGATTTTGAATTGGTGATGGCCCAATTTTTTGCCTTTTATGACTTTTTTACTGGAGTGTAGAGATATTTGGATTAAATTAAAACCATAGAAGATGGAGGTTTTTTAATGTGTGGAAATGGAAATTTAGTTGCATAATATGTTGTTATATTATGTTTATTATGATCCTTGGGTGACAGAATTAATTACCTTGGGATTTGATTTCTGTGAATGCTTTCCTTTGTTGGTAGAAGTAGGCTAATGAGATTAAAGCTTTGGGCAAATAGCAAAAGCTTGTAAGTGGAGAAACTATTTAGAATGTTTTCAGGAAGTTGCCTCTTAGACCCCATTCCCAGAGATTAGATCGATCCAAACTAGATCGACCTAACTCCCTGGGGGTGCACGCTAAATAGCTGTCAGCCGTGAGGGCACGAAAGTTAATTACCCCCTTACAGCTTCTAGTAGGCGGGACGGACATTTAAGCCGGATTATCTGACAGTAATCTAGTGAGACTCCCCATGGGGATAGATCGATCTAAAACTATGGGAATACGCCCTTAGTATATATTTTATGCATTAATACCTTTGACTGCGTGATTGATCATCAGAACCAAGTAGTCAAAAAATTGCAGAAAGTTGCTAGGCCATCGGGCTTCTGAAAATTATGAATAGATACTTAAAAAAGAAAGCAGGATATTGAAACCTTTGTACATATATTACAGTTGCTATAGAAAATAAAAATTGTGTCTATTATTTTTTTCTTTCTCAAATACATTTCACTGCTCTCTGTTACATGCAGAAATACTTTGACCTACATTTCTTGATTTAATAGCAAGTAGTTATGACATTTCAGGTTGTCAGAGTGGAATATAAGTTAGAAGAACTGAACATAGATTAAATTGTTTGACAAGCTGGCTCATGGTTTTTAAGGGGAGGGTGATAAATTGTTAACATCTTATGCCTGGTTGAGAGTCAATGGGACTTTGGAATGAATCTAAATAAAAACTCTTAATGTCTAGGATATTTTTTAAAGTATAGATTTTAGTAGGAAGTAAGACCCCTTATTTGTATTTTATGTGTAATATTACAATCTTGGACAATATTATTTTTGCAAATTTATGCTTTTTGGTATTTTATGGTGAAACACTTTGAGGGGGGATCTATGAATACTTTGATCAGCCTGCTTTTATTTTTAAGATTGAGAACACCAACTATAATATTTTATTAATATCATGTAGGTTTTTTGCCTTCTAAAAAAGTTTTTTGTTTTTCCAACAAATAATGTAAGTTTCATACTGCTACATCAACAGAAATGGCACAGATGACTGGTTGACATATAGAGAGTTAAAAAAAAAGAGATCCAAATTCCTGGCCATCGGTAGTGAGCACATATACTTCATACCTTTTACCTTTGCTTCCAACTCTCTCCATATCTTCAAGATATTTACATTGTGTTGTTTTCATTTCCAGTGAACAATGGTAGATCTACCTCAGTATTATAAATAGATTTTGTTGTGTGCTCAGGTTGACTCTTATCAGATAATTTATTTTTGGGTAATAAATCTCTGGGAAGTTGGTGTCAGTTTAGCACATTGTCCTTATATGCTAATGTGGTAGCTGTATGCTGTGAATTGCATTCATTTGGTTCAATTACTTGACCACTATCCAGCAGTTTCTTTTCTGTATAAAATCCTAATATTGATAGTTTTATGTTGATTTGATATTATTTGACTGATCAGTCTGACCAGATATGCTCATTTCACTTTTCTTTTGTATCAAAGTGGGCCTAGGACAACTTTCATTATTTTCAAAAACATAAATTCTGACCTAAAATGCAGATTGAATTTGTATACCTGTGGCATACCCATATTTTTCCATACACATAAAATGTGCTAGTGTTGCTTAATAAGAAGAGGAAAGAAAACTGTTTTCCTCAGGAGACAGATAATGAATATTGTTTTGCTGTCATTATGATCGTTTGGGATTGAAGTACTTACTTGTCATTTAAGTATTCTCCGTACACGTAATGAAAACCAATTTTTTATTTTTGTTTTCCAGAGGAGCATTTACCAGAGTGGGAGCGGGAATTGCAGAGAGAATTAAATGAATATGAAGTTGTTGACGATGGAAACAGTGACCTTGATGATGCAGAACTAGAAAATGAAATTTTAAAACAAATTGAAGAAGAAGCTGACCAGTCTTAGTGGGAACAAAACTAGGCACCTTACACAGGCCTAACCAACTACCAGACTCGGCACCTAAGGATCCTGAATTAACCGGTTTATCAGACCACACTACCTGTTTTCAAGGTGTGTGTCAGATCACATTTCGGAGTATCAGTCAGAACACCGACAGGATGAGCCCACGCTCGGCTGTCACCTTGATTGGATAGTAAACGATTGTGGTATTTAATCGCTATATAATTTTAAAACCGGGTGCATAAATTTGAAAGCCAATTTGAAATTAATCTAAGACAATGCAAAAAAGCCCTATCAAAAGTGGTTAAAACATTCAAACCGAATGTCGTAAAGTCTCCATATACCCCCATAGAGACAATGAAATAGAGTACTCTAAAGTAAGAGTACAGTTAAAGGTTGTTCAGCCGAGCGTGGATGAGCCCGCAGTCGTCCTACAAAATTTGTTCTGGAGTATGATACTCCGAAATGCAGGGCCGTAGCCTCCGGGGGGGCAGGGGGGGCAGCTGCCCCCCCTGGGATTTGAGGTGCAAAAAAAATAATCGCAAAGGTAAAAAAAAAATTGCAAAGTTGGTATCAATTATGTGAGAAAATGCACTCATGGCCACTAAACAATCATTCAACAATTTGTTTACAAAGGTGTACTGTTTTTATCGCCAACTCAGTTCATGCCAAAAAGTCCAATATTGGCGTGTTGTGTTGAAAAAATGACTGTAGGCTACTTATGGCAAAATGAACCCACAATTTCTGACTTCTGATTGAGCAATAAATAACAGTTAAAATGCACCAGAATGCAGTATTATACAAACAGTTTTTAAAATTTTTCCACACCGTGGGAGGGGGACAACCCCTCCCCCACCCCCCGGGGNGATACTCCGAAATGCGATCTGACACACACCTTGAAAACGGGTAGTGTGGTCCGATATATCGGTTAATTCAGGATCCTTAGGTGCCGAGTCTGGTAGTTGGTTAGGCCTGTTACATAAGAACACTGTTCATACACAAATAAAAAACAGATTGTTATTTTTATTCCCTCGAAGTCATGCCTCCAGATTGAGTTCAAGATCAGCTGTGAGAGTGCATAAGGGATAATAAATTAAAGTAGACTGAAGCAAAACTGAAATATGAAATCATTTTTTATACATAAACAAGAAGGGATAGTTTCAGTGGAATTTCAATGTCAGACATAGCCTTGAGAATTTTTTTTTCATATCACTAAAATTGTACATCTAAAAAGTCATTGTGGCTATTCGAATGTATTATTTCCAAAATTTTACTTTTTTTTTCTATAATCTCTCTGAAGCAGGTTAAGTATGCCAAAAAATAAATGAGAAAAAATTTGATTTTACAAAAAAAAATTTTTTTTTTTTAAGATTTAGAATCTAAATAATACCTTAGCATTTATAAATACATTTCATTCCAGACAGAATTGCTCTTGGAGGTGCTTGTAATTAGATTGTATTGTATATATCTTGTAAAATATTTCTGATTGGTCATGATTGTTCGGTGATGTTTGGTAAACACTACAAACAGCATACACTTAAGTGGATAATAACTGTTATGGTAATATAATACATCATTCACCAGCTAGAGATAAGTGATAAAGTATTTTTCGCATGTGAATTTTAGTCACATATATAAGGTGAATTCTTAGTCTTAGTCTTAAATTGGTGTTAAAAAGATTCAAAAAATTTATATTAATAAGAAGAATGTGATGTTATTCGTTTTTATCATTTTCACAAGTCTACAAAGAGTGGGCTTTTTCCAGACCCCCCCCCCCCCTTCAGAGAATACATGATGAAAAGCTGAAAATAATGGCCTTTGCCAGCACACCCCTAGAGGTGAAGATCATCATTTTTGTTTTTTCTCCAAAAGCATATAGAGGACATTAGCCCTCCCCCAACATACAGTTTGTAGACGTGAAAATGGATGATCCCTAAGTTAATTGTCAGATGTGGTTTTGCAAGTCACAGCTATATATAAGGGTGGTCACAATATCCTTAAGATTCATTGGTCTGAAAGTTTTTGATCTTTGCCTTTTTTTTTTTGCCAAAAATATTGTTACCAAAAAATGTTAAGATTAATGCACCCATACACCCTGTTAAAATGGCATATCTGTCAATTAACCTTTAGACATTTATTAAGTGCTACGTAATTTAATTTTGTGTACAAAATGTATGCAAAAGATTACAACTTATTACGATTGCTAAGATGCCATCTTTCACAGTTTCCTGTTACTCTCACATTTTTATTCAGTACAGGTGATAAATAAAATGTCATCACCTATACACTAAACATCACCTTAAAATTACAGCAAACTGTGAGTGATATATATACATATATGGTTGATAATATACATAATGCATTTAGAGTAAAATATGTGGAGGGTATTACAGCTAAATTACCAATTGTTTTCATAACATGGGGAAATACAAGGTTGAAAAGAAAAAGTGCCATTTGAGTTGTCAAATTTTTTTTTTTTTTTGTCATACTCATTCGGTTTCTATTATTTTCACATTTACCATTTTAAATGTTCATACACCTGAGTTAATTCCTTATAGAAAACTACTTCAACCTAGTTGCCA